CCCTTCCTATTGTGGGTAGTAAAGGGTCATATGAAGTTATGATCCATTAATCTCTTCTGAAAACATCAAGTTCTGGCCATGCACTTTTCATTGAGTATGGCAGGAAGCAGAGTGCTGTCACTCTGGAGAATCAAAGGGCTGAAATATTTTGAATCTCTTAGTTCATGGCTAATCTAAAATCATTTGGCTTTTGAGGTAGGAAAAGAAATTACTATGATGTGCAATGTGGCTTTTACGTAACAGAGACATGAAGTGTTTTTTCAGTTCTCCAAGCCTCTTTGGCTCGTGTAAAGAGAGGCAATTTGGGGAAGATCTCTTCCGTAGAGTGATCTACCCATAAGAGAGTTGTGGTGGGGTGGGGATTTTTCTTAGCTTTTGTTTTACAGAATAAACAAGACAAGTTCATGGGAAAAATTCCATTCTTACCTGTGCAGCTACTTAAAAATGATCTTCTTTTCTAGGCCAACGGTGCAGAGCATTTCATGGTGACTGCTGTAAACATATATTTTTCCAGATTGTGAAAATTACTCTCTGAATAGTTAGGGTGCCGTCTTGCTTGCTTTCTGCATTGTTGTGTCAAAATGCTGGACACCTGGAGCTAAAGGAGCAATGGCTTATTTTAATTCAGTGTGCAGAGGTTTTAGTGCACAGTGAGCGGGCTCTGAGGCAGGGTGGCTTGGCAGAAGGCAACCCAGGGGAGAAACAATTCCCATGAAGCAGTAGGCATCAGAGCAACAAAACAGCAAAGAAACAGTAGTAAGCAACAGCAGTGGCCCTAGTTTTGTCCCTTATAGTCTACCCTGGCTGCACACTAGTAGAAAGGTAGCACGCACATCTAAGGTGAATGTTCCCATTATCCACACCCAGAATTATGCCCATCCAATCAGAAGACTCATTCAGTAATCACACACCCTTGATCCCAGCATCCCAGACTCTAGAACCACCTATCTCTGAAACAGTATCCCCTATGACCCCTTGAGGCTTTGGGGGGACACCTAGGTACAAGCCATGACAGATGCCTATTAATTTATTATAGAAATATATACTGATACTCCGTGATTCACAGTGGGACTCTTCCCTGGTAAACTCACTGTGAACTGGAAATACCATAAGTCAGAAACTCATGGGATCAATCCAACCGGCCAAACATCCAAGCCTGGCCACACAGCACCATGAAAGGGGATCTCAGAGCGTAGTACTTGATCCCAATTGTCTAATGAATGAGTATCGTTCATATCATTCATTGTCTATCCAGTGAGTGTCCGTGCTGTGTTATTGTAATGTCAAGCCTTGTGAGAGGCACCATCAGTTAAGTCCGGGACTGTCCAGACTTTGTCCTGAGCTTGGTCCCCAAGTTACTGCTCTCTACACTGAAAATCATTTTAGGTCAGAGGCTGCACAGAAAGCCACCAGCACCAGGCCCCAGGTCAGAGTCAGTGGTCATCAGGCCCCACAACTTTCCTCCCACTCTTCCACTCACCTTTTGACCCTGTTTTTCCCTGCATTGTCATATGTAGGGAAGATGACGAGGGTGTTCCAGGTGGACAGAAAAGGGTCTCGCTGTATGGTTTGTGTCTAGATTAGATGTCCGCTCAGAGCCTCATGCAGTCATGGGGTGGGTCTCTAGAGACTGTGATGGCTTGTGTGTCAATGCTGGGATTATGGGTGTGAGGGCTACACCCACCCAGGGGCAGAGAGCCTGCATGCACTGCTATCTGCAGGGAGGGAAGGAGGCCTGCTGCTCTTCCCTTCTGCTCTTTTTCCTTTTGCTGTCTTATGCTGCCTCAAGCTAGCGCCCTCTGCCATGTGCCACCCTGCCTTAGAGCCAGCCGAGTATGGACTGAAACTTCCACAAGCTGTGAGCTAAATAAACCTTTCCCTCTTTAATTGGGATGTTGGGTATTTTATCTCAGCAATGAGAGAAAAGTAAGCCCGACCATCACATAGCTCAACGTGCAGAGACTCAGCAGCACGCAGATAGACGACGAGGTCACTGGAGTGAGTCTGAGAGAGACCAGAGCACGCTGTCTGTTACACGGAAGGCGTGCCGTGTGGTTTAACCTGACCTGAAATTCTCGAATGGGGCCACCTGATCCTAGCACTGTCAAGCGGGCCAGTCAGGAAGCCTGGAAGAGCAGCCTTCCCTTCCGAAGGAAGGACAGCGTCACAGAGGGCTGCTTTTCTCCTTAGGAGTCAAGAGCAAGCATCCGATTCATAGCATGCTTTATGCAAACTTGTTTTGATACCTTGAACTTGCTTACAGTTAAGACGCCAATCAAACTACTTATTCTTATTTTCTAAATGGCGATGCTGTGTATCGTGGTGACGGGGGAGGGGGCCTCTCTCCTCCAAAAGCACAGTGATGTTATTTTGTTTTCCTCTACCAGTGGCATCAGTGTGCTTCCCCTGGGTAATGGAAAGGGGTCGCTGCAGATCCCCCGTGTGCTGTGAGACCACCCCAGGTGTTCTGATAGCTCAGACAGCTGTGAACAGTGTGGTTCATGGGAGTCCCTTTCTGTATTTTGTGGCAGAAATGAGCTTCCTTCTGCCGGGTCATATTTCTGCAGCCCTCTTCAGCAGCGGTTTCCCACAGCACCATGATTTATTGCTGCCTCTAGGAAAGAGCGTGTTGGCCGTGGGACACAGACAGACAGACAGACAGACAGACAGACAGACAGACAGACAGACAGACAGACAGACTGGGAGAGAGAGAGAGAGAGAGAGAGAGGGGCTATGTCTGGATGTGAAGCAAAAGGGTTTGCAGGTGACCCCTTTATTCTCAAGTAAAATTGAATCAGTTTGCTTTTAAGAAAGTAAAGGATGAGACTTAAAGTCCCTTTCAACTAGTTTTATTACCGCGTATGAATTGTACGAAACACTGGGTTTTGCTCTGGTATTTTCATACACGCGTATATCTTTAGCTCCACCCTCCCTTACCCTTCCGGTACCCTTGCCCATTTATTCTTGTCATTTCTCTCTAGCCGAAAGCCCCCTTCTACTGTCATGTCATCTTTTTTTGGATGAGATGCCACATGTTTAGGAAAACACCAAATTTGTCTTTCTGAGTCTAGTTGCTTTTGTTTGACCTGCTCTCTGATTCACGTTTTTGAGTCTCATTTTTTTCTAAGTTAAATGTCTCCTCTTTTAAATGACTCATTTCAACTGTCAAGTGTAATGAGAAAGCACACGCACCAGCCATTGTTGAATTCCTATCATTCGGTTTAGTGAAATTCTGTATTATTTGGTGTTTTATTTTTTTAACGATTGTTTTATTCTCTTTAAAAATTAGAAAAGCAGAAATAAGTCAATAAAGTACAGTCAGATTAAAGGACAGAAAGAAAGAGAAAGAAAAAGGAAGGAAGGAAAGAGAGAAAGAATGGAAAGAGGATAGAAAGAAAAAGGAAGGAAAGAGAAAGAGAATAGAAAGAGGAAAGAAGAAAGGAAAGAAAGAAAAGGGAAGGAAAGAGAGAGGGGAAGAAAGAAAGAAAGAAAACCCATCACCTGCATTCTCAGATTGTGTGGAGTTTTTTTTTTTTTTTTTTTTTTTTCAATCCAGGGAATCAAGGTACATTTGAGAAGTAAAGACCCAGGTAGTGTCCCAGACCAGTGGGGATCCCCTTGCTTCGGATGTGTCCTAGGAGGCTTTCTCCTCACAAGCACGGAAGCTATTCTGTCCCAAATTCTTACCGTCACCTCCTCTTTTGCTGTTGGGTGCTCCTGGGGGTCTACTTGTCATTTCTGCACAACCTCCCCTCCTCCTTTCCCTCCCATCCCATTCAGGATCACATGTGAGTAATCCCAGCCCTTTCTTAAAAGGGTTCTGAGAAGAAAGAAGGTCACCAAGTGTCATTTCAGGGTGGAAACAGCACTTCAGAGAACACGCTGCACCTGAGCAGAACTGTGCTACCAAGGTTTTTCCCTTCCACTGTTGGTTCATGGGAAGCGAGCCAGGCCAGTCTTTGGTTCTTGTTTTTAAATTATGATGATCAGGTATTTTTAGTCTGTAGGTGTCTGTGCGGGCCCATGACTCATGAGGAGGGTTGAGGCCAGAGAAACGCTAAGCATCCAGGCTCATAATTACATCACGTTTTTTTTTTTTTTTAGTGGCACCAAAGTATAAACAGCAGAAAAGAAAGCTCAAGAGCGACAGGAGCCCTTAAGGTTGCCTACTGAAGTCAGAGAGCCACGCTAGTCTACCAGGTTACACACACACCTCATCCTACCAAACAGGAGGGTTGCCATACTATTATGCAGAGCCCAGAAAGGCTCAGGTTTAATGCTGTCATTTGTTCAACTAGTTCTATGTGCCTTTGTCCCAAGACAGTAGCCCTCTGGTACCTCCTTTCACTCATCACTGATTGTCCAAGTCTGTTTGCCATCTGGATGACTTGCCTTCTTTGTCTAGGGAGACACTCAGTAGTAGAGGTCGTGCATTTTCCTTTGGGAATAGTTATTGTATCTACAGGTTGGATTCATTCAGAGGGAGGGATTCCTTGAAGTATTCAAGTATTCCTTGAAGTTTATCGGGGTCAAGTTGTCCCATCCTGTGTGGTGTCTTTCTTCTTCCAAGCTGTCAGATGCTGATGACTGGTGTATGAATAAAGCATTGCTTTTCGCAAAGTAACACCCTGGAAAGTGGATAAAGTAGAAGCGGTGAGGAGAGGAATCGAGGGGGAGAATGTTAAACGGTCTACTTCCATCCCATGCGTTCTCTCTATTGCATCGCCCCCCCATAAATTACCTGCACTTTCGGAACCCCATGTCCCCTGCACCACAGTGACAAAAGCCCCACCTCACAGTGCATGATCTCTAGGGATTTAAGGACTTAATGCACGAACACAGCCAGAATCCACAGGCAGTACCTGGCACCTGGTTAGGGGGGCTTGTCTTCTCTGTGCCAGGGACTGACATAAATCTGTGTAGCTTTCTCCTTTGGGGGGAGGGTGCTGTAGGGCAAGGATGGTGTTCGTGGCTGATCCAGTGGCTGGTTTATCATGCAGGGTCATAGACGGACGGGACCTGATGCCCTTGATACAAGGGGAACTCCAGCACTCCGACCACGAGTTTCTCTTCCACTACTGCAATGCCTACTTAAATGCCGTACGGTGGCACCCACCAAACAGTGAGTAATGGAACGTGTCCATGCTTCCATATGTTTTACTGCCTGTGCCATGTGGAGAGATGAAATTAGAGGAAGGGTTTGCGTTATGGAGGCCACCAGGTGCTGAAAGCTATGAATGTCCTTTACTAGGCTCTATTTCCTGTCTTTCCAGAAAGTTGAGTGAGTCCTTCCCTAGGCCCTACAGAAAGGTCATCTCTCCCAGCTGTTCTTAGAGCATCCTCTTCACTCTCCTGGTGTTGTGCTGTTAGAGAATAAATGAATAAATGGATGCATGGATGAACAAATAAGTGGGTGCATGAATCAATAAATGGATGAATGAATGAATGAATGAATGGATGAATGAATAGATGAGTGAATAAATGGTTGGATGAATGAATGAATGAATGAATGAATGAATGAATGATTAATGAATGCATGGCTGTATGAATGGATGGATGAATAGATGGATGGATGCATAGATGGATCAATGGATGCATGGATGAATAGATGGATGAATGGATGAGTGAATAAATGGTTAGATGAATAAATGGATGGATGGATGGATGGATGGATGGATG